ATAAGAAATAAGGGTAAAGAGGTATTATTTTATATGTGATAGTTCTACCAAAAAAATCAAAATAAAATAAAATAAGAGTTGATTATCTTTGAACTTTCTTTTTTCTTATTTTACAAAAATGTGAGAATCACGAACACAGTGAATTTTGAAAAGGCAACAAAATCAAAATCAAAGCATCCCATAAATAGTGATGTTATGAGGAGAGAATGCGTCTTGGCCGTTCAGATTGGGCGAATCGCCAGGCACACTCGGAGTGCACTCTCTATCGGGTACGCTCTGCACTGGACGTCGCCCAGACTCTTCAATCTGAACGCGCCCTAGGTAATAATAACAAGCGTCTGCGGATCACACGGAGGCAACGCCACGAATATGATCGAAAGTGTACGAACGAAACTTTTAAAATTTGGCGCGACGCGACAAACGGAGGTTCACTAGCATTTTTGTTTACCGCCTCTTTATTTATTTGACACAAAATTATTAATTATAATTCGATAGTTTGTCTTATTATCATTATCAATGACATGAGAGGGAGTTTTCGAGCAATTATCACCTAAAAAAACACATGGAGAGCACAATTCACAACAAAAATACATCTACAAAAATAATGAAGTCCATAAGATGCCCATTAAACTGTGATTTTATTACCGACAGCAAAGACATTATTGTTTTACATATTACAAAAATTTTCACGGAAACAACTTAGACCCCAAGAATTTAACATTTAATAATAAGGAAGACTTTTTTGAGTGGAAAAGAAAATTAGAGCAACAGATACCATCAGAGCACAGTTTATAAAATGAACTGTTTAAACTGTTGAAAGGAAAAATGGTACAATAATTATTTATTTTATTTATCATCAAGATGGAAATTTACATAAACGCATTAAATTTACATTATGTAGGTACCTATTACGCTAACATAAACAGGCTTTATTGAGTATTGACTTATTATTTAATAGCCTCGCTCGCAAGCTCGCTCGGTCATAAAATTACTCGTACAATAAGCCTTTCTTCATTGTAGGTACCTACTTGTTATTTAATGCTATTTATATAAATAGCTATTATTTAACAATCTAGATTAAACACTGTGTCTTTCAAAATCTTACAGAAACAGCTTAATTGTGATACAGCCTACAAATCAACTGTGGAGGGCGAAGGGCCATGTATCATTGGATTATTCCACCTGACTTATCAATTATTTTTTTGTACCTACCCGGGTTCTGGCTTGGGCTTGATACCCCATCCCAAAAGAATTAATTCTCATCAGTCTTTCTAAAATTTTTAGTTAAATATTATCGATAATAATCGATATTTTACGAAATGGAAATTGCAAAATATAACAATAAATATTCATCAGGATTCAGGACAAGGAGGTGGAGGCGTCAATAAACAAGGAGCAAAAACGTAATGAACGCTGTATTCGTGGCGTTGCCCCCGTGTGATCCGCAGACGCTTGTGTAATAATATACTACCGGACAAGTCCAAGAAAATTTGCGAAAAATTATATGGACAATTTATGGATTGGAAACACCAAAAACACATCGTCCTTCTCAGAAAATGTTTTGATAGTATATTTTGAAGAATTACAACAAAAAATGAAACCTTCAACTGTATGGATTACTCAATTATAAAATCTCTATTCAAAGTTAAGCATAATGTTGACATATCTAAATATCATAAGTTTTATCGATGGCAGTAGAAAAAATAGTGTATGCAACTCTCATGTAATGGCCATTAATACACTCGCATGTTATATACAAAACTCGCCTGCGGCTCGTTTCGTATCCTACAACATGCTCGTGTATTAATGGCTATCATTACATGATCATTGCATAATATACTATTAATGTTTTTACATATTTTTCCGCATCACTTACCACACAAATTCAAAGGAGATACTGGAAGAAATCTTCAACTGAGGCCATATCTAGGCGTAGACAAAAAACTTGTTGATAGGTACAGTTCAAATAAATATAAATTGCTTCTCATAATTTGGATTTTGTAAGTATATTTAATTAGCGATAAGCAGAACCATTATTTTTGTATTATAGCATAGATTGTATTTGGAGCGAGGTAGATTTAGTTGAGGGGAGCGGAAGGGCGAGATTGTTTTCAAAAGGGGTAGATCTACCCCGAACGGGGAAGCTTTGGCAACACTGCATATCTGCCAAAAAAATGAAGCCATGAAAGACAGATGCCACAAGGGGGAATGTTGTTTTTTTCTGTTGCTCGCTGACATTATGACGTTTTGGAAAGTTTTGTCATATTTACCTTCACAGGTTTTATCAATTGGAATACGTGTTGGAAGCAATTTCCGCCATTTAACATAATGAGTGCGACGAAAACAGGTATCCCCTCCGCAGCACCGGCACGTTGGTCAATATGTGTTGTCTCTGATGTGTTCGCATTCCAGTTTTTGGTTATAGTTCATTGGCTGTCCCTGACAAGTATGAATGACATATGACAAATACAAATAAGGCAGTGGCTACACTACTAAATTAAGCAGTGGCTACACTATAAGTGGAACATATACATAACACCTTCAATTTAAGGGGGCCACCCAAAGGGGCCACCAGCCTCTGATGACGTCATACCGGTAAAGTCAGTTTTGTACGATAAAATCATGCAAAAAACGATAATTTCCACAACATTGTACCATAATTTGGTTTTGGTCATCTGGCAACACTGCCAGGGCGTTAATAGTGCTGGGCAGTATTTTGACACTTTTGACATTTCCGCATGCGCAGAAACTATCAGACTTACCGCCGGCACTAATAGGGAGATTTTGGACCAGTGAAAATAACATCAAAAATTACAGAAATATTCGTTAACTTTAATTACATTCAAGATAACGGAAGGTAAATAAAAACGAGTTTTTGGAGTGGATTTATGAATAACGATAACGATATTTGTGGTTATTTTATCATCTTGTTGTTTAACCTAACTTTTTAGTAAATATTTGGGACTTTCTTTTTCGCTGTTTTTTCTTTTCTGCGATTGTATTTTGTAAAATTGTTTTGTTTTGTGTGATTTCCTGGCTAAATTGAAATGAATGAAAATATAGAAAATGTTATTAGAAGAGGCCTACCAGAAAACATAGATCTTGTTCGACAAATAATTTTGAGAAATGTTTTTGATTGGCAACAACAACCGCAAGTTCAAGAGGAACCAGAACCTGTATTTGATCAAAACAAAAATACAAAATTCGCCCAGAAAAAAATAAACCACATAGGCCATTGTCCACATTAAACAAACTAAAATATTTGAGGTTAGAACATTATGCTGTCAAATGCATAAAGTCGAAAATCGCGTGTCGCTAGTGTCAAATAAGGAAAAAATTCGCTAAAGTTATTCGCCTTAAATAAAGTACCTTCGTTATCGTTACAAGCTCCGCCTCTTTCCTTTTTGAGTAGTGCGCATGCTCAAAATCGGAATAACCACAAAAATCGTTATTAAAAGACAGTTTTCACTGGTCCAAAATCTCCCTAATGTTAGTGCCTGCCTTTATTAGTGGAAGTTTCAAAATCGGGTACAGCCTGTTCGTATTTTGACAATGTAATCAAGCGCGTGATATTTTTCGACATAACCTCATCAAAACTCCTGAAAATAAACAAACAATCAACGGAAAAGTTTATTATTTTTGTGAAAGTGACAAATATAGAATAAATCTTTGAAATATATTTGAAAAATTTTCTTTCATCTCTTGATCCGAGAAGTTGTTAAGGTCAGAAATGGGCCTCTGAGGCTGGTCATTTCTGTTTACTAGCCAGTTATCCAAGATTACAAATTCCAGGTCATCGTCATCTGCACCATCCAAGATGATCATTTTTAGAAGCTCATCCATTTTCGAATTAAAGAAACCAAGAGAAAAAAACAACAGAAAAATTAAAAACTACGAAGAAACAGAATCTATTGTGCGTTGACAGAAACCAAGTTAAAACTGGTTAGAATTAACGCCTATTGAAAATTTGTTGCATCTTCCAATAACTGTCATTTTTCGATCAGCCACTAAAGGTGCACTAATAGTGTAAGGTCGGCACTAATAGTGGACGGCCGTATTCCAATAACTCTCTAATATTTTTCATCATAAATTTAAATTCAAAACTACGACCGCTGGCGCAAACAGCTGACGACTTAAGCTGGGTTTATACAGGAAATAAAATAACTACGTAAAATAAGAAATAAAATAAAATTAAAAGATTGCCTTATGGGAAGCCAAAGTGGCGTTTATACACCAAAATAAAATAAGATAAAAGATAAGAAATGGGCAAAAATAAAAAGTTGCTTAACTTTTAACTTCTTATTTTATTTTATGTGAAAATGCTATTTGCGCCTGTCACGTGTCACGGCCAGGGATGTGCGTCTACACGTAGACATTCATTGTCTACTTTACGTGTAGACAATGTAGACAACGTGTCAACAATGTAAAATAATATAAATGACGTTTAATTCTAACCTCACACTTCCTTTTTCAAAAATTATTTTTATTTTATTATCGGTTTTCCTTTTTCCTCATAGTTATAATCAGTGAATGCTGATATCAAAGTGATAGGTATAAGCTACTTAGGTAGTAGTAATTTTGGAACTTTTTTTTAAAATTTTTTAAGATAAGTTTATTGTTTACGTCACATGTAGACAATGTGTAGACAAATGCCCACGTAAACAATTCGAATTGTCTACACGTAGACAATCAATTGTTTACGTTGACATTGTCTACAGGCACATCACTGGTCACGGCGTCAATTAAATTAGACCGGTGACAGTTCAGACGTATTGTGATTGGTTCAAAATAATTCTAATTTTATTTTATATTTTTCTGTATAAACGCCCTATTTCTTATTTTTCTTATTTCGTATATTATTTCGTATTTTATTTTATTTTATTTCCTGTATAAACCAGGCTTTAGTTAATGACGTCGGCAATGGTGATACACCAATTTGGCCGCGATTACCAAAAACGAGGCTGATAAGCAATCCTGAATCCTCAGTAGTATGTACTATCCTTGGCTTCGCACGACGTATGGGTCTACCAAGAACGTAGTGAAATTCTCAAAACCATCGGCTGTGGGGTGGGCGCTATGGCTGCAACAGCTGTTCCTGTCCTGCTATCTGTCTATTCTTCTGTCTATCAAAATAATTAAAACAAAACAAATCGGGAATTGTGGGAACAAACAATTTTAAGGAATATTATAGTGAATTTTGTGTAAATTATGGCAGAAATAAATCAAGACACGTAAGTCAGCAAATTTAACATTCAAATCCACTTATGTTCATAAACAATTTTGCTCTAGATTCGTTTTAATTAATATAAGTTTGCAGCACAATAAAATTTGTTTTTTTAGTTCCACCTATTTTGCCTTAAAATAACAGTTCAACACGTTTTATTTGTTTAACTAGGTAGATAAATTTCAAGACGCCAGACTGCTAGAAAGAACATATCAAAAGTTTATCTTGGTTTCAACTGAGGTTTCAACCAATGAACCGAATAGATTTTCACTGTTTACCTTCAATTTTATTGCTTTTGCCTGAAATATCTTAGAAAGTGCCTTAAAATATTGTTTTTGTTTTCGAATATGCAGGAATTCTGCTCAGGGATCGTCCAAGGAGGGTTGGTTCAATTCCTGGTTAAACTCTGCTAAAAATAAGGTAAGAACCCATTGTTCCAATTGATGTGAATCTGTATTTTTGAAATGTTTATTTTATGATGTACGTTACGCTAGCTCTTAAAATCCAGCTCCTAAAAATTATTACATGTTTTCGGGAACGCAGTCGCTTCTGTGAAGCTGGCTCCTTGGCTGACTGTTGATTATTTTATTGAATATTTTTCCGATTATTTTTGATTATTATAAGAAAAATCGAACTATATAATAGAAAAATTACCATAAAATAAACACAATAAACACAATTTATTTATAAGTTTCATTATTTTAGAGGTTACGTTGAAATAATAATAAAGAATAGGAATGTGCATGTAATCGATGTCGACGTCCAACTTTCTTAATATGCGGAATTTAAAATTGAAACTTTCGGGATACGTAAAAGGCCACTAGGGCTACTTAAATTTACCCTCAAACTTGGGTTACATACGCAGGCTTTATAAGAAAAAAATTAATTTCGATTAAGGGCCTAATTAGGAGCTGAGTCCGTACCGCTCTTATTGGCAGGATTCTCAACATGAAATTTTTAGGGTAGATGGAGGGTCCATAGGGCTCCCTAAATCTACCCTCAAACTTGGGTTACAAACGCAGGCTTTATGAGAAAAAAATTAATTTCGATTAAGGGCCTAATTAGGAGCTGAGGCTGTACCGCCCTTATTGGCAGGATTCTCAACATGAAATTTTTAGGGTAGATGGAGGGTCCATAGGGCTACCTAAATCTACCCTCAAACTTGGGTTACATACGCAGGCTTTATAAGAAAAAAAATTAATTTCGATTAAGGGCCTAATTAGGAGCTGAGTCCGTACCGCTCTTATTGGCAGGATTCTCAACATGAAATTTTTAGGGTAGATGGAGGGTCCATAGGGCTACCTAAATCTACCCTCAAACTTGGGTTACATATGCAGGCTTTATGAGAAAAAAATTAATTTCGATTTAGGGCCTAATTAGGAGCTGAGTCTGTACCGCCCTTATTGGCAGGATTCTCAACATGAAATTTTTAGGGTAGATGGAGGGTCCATAGGGCTACCTAAATCTCCCCTCAAACTTGGGTTACATACGCAAGCTTTATGAGAAAAAAATTAATTTTGATTAAGGGCCTAATTAGGAGCTGAGGCTGTACCGCCCTTATTGGCAAGATTCTCAACATTAAATTTTTAGGGTAGATGGAGGGTCCATAGGGCTACCTAAATCTACCCTCAAACTTGGGTTACATACGCAGGCTTTACAAGAAAAAAATTAATTTCGATTTACTTAGGGCCTAATTAGGAGCTGAGTCCGTACCGCTCTTATTGGCAGGATTCTCAACATGAAATTTTTAGGGTAGATGGAGGGTCCATAGGGCTACCTTAATCTACCCTCAAACTTGGGTTACATACGCAGGCTTTATGAGAAAAAAATTAATTTCGATTAAGGGCCTAATTAGGAGCTGAGGCTGTACCGCCCTTATTGGCAGGATTCTCAACATGAAATTTTTAGGGTAGATGGAGGGTCCATAGGACTACCTAAATCTACCCTCAAACTTGGGTTACATACGCAGGCTTTATAAGAAAAAAATTAATTTCGATTAAGGGCCTAATTAGGAGCTGAGTCCGTACCGCTCTTATTGGCAGGATTCTCAACATGAAATTTTTAGGGCAGATGGAGGGTCCATAGGGCTACCTAAATCTACCCTCAAACTTGGGTTACATACGCAGGCTTTATAAGAAAAAAATTAATTTCGATTAAGGGCCTAATTAGGAGCTGCGTCCGTACCGCTCTTATTGGCAGGATTCTCAACATGAAATTTTTAGGTTAGATGGAGGGTCCATAGGGCTACCTAAATCTACCCTCAAACTTGGGTTACATACGCAGGCTTTATGAGAAAAAAAATAATTTGCATTTAGGGCCTAATTAAGAGCTGACGCCGTACCGCCCTTATTCGCAGGATTCTCAACATGAAATTTTTAGGGTAGATGGAGGGTCCATAGGGCTACCTAAATCTACCCTCAAACTTGGGTTACCTTAATCGAAATTAATTTTTTTCTTATAAAGCCTGCGTATGTAACCCAAGTTTGAGGGTTGATTTAGGTAGCCCTATGGACCCTCCATCTACCCTAAAAATTTCAGGTTGAGAATCCTGCCAATAAGGGCGGTACAGCCTCAGCTCCTAATTAGGCCCTTAATTGAAATTAATTTTTTTCTCATAAAGCCTGCGTATGTAACCCAAGTTTGAGGGGAGATTTAGGTAGCCCTATGGACCCTCCATCTACCCTAAATATTTCATGTTGAGAATCCTGCCAATAAGGGCGGTACAGCCTCAGCTCCTAATTAGGCCCTAAATCCAAATTAATTTTTTTCTCATAAAGCCTGCGTATGTAACCCAAGTTTGAGGGTAGATTTAGGTAGCCCTATGGACCCTCCATCTACCCTAAAAATTTCAGGTTGAGAATCCTGCCAATAAGGGCGGTACAGCCTCAGCTTTTAATTAGGCCCTTAATTGAAATTAATTTTTTTCTCATAAAGCCTGCGTATGTAACCCAAGTTTGAGGGTAAATTTAAGTAGCCCTAGTGGCCTTTTACGTATCCCGAAAGTTTCAATTTTAAATTCCGCATATTAAGAAAGTTGGACGTCGACATCGATTACATGCACATTCCTATTCTTTATTATTATTTCAACGTAACCTCTAAAATAATGATACTTATAAATAAATTGTGTTTATTGTGTTTATTTTATGGTAATTTTTCTATTATATAGTTCGATTTTTCTTATAATAATCAAAAATATTCGGAAAAATATTCAATAAAATAATCAACAGTCAGCCAAGGAGCCAGCTTCACAGAAGCGACTGCGTTCCCGAATTCATGTACTAATTTTTAGGAGCTGGCATTTTAGGAGCTAGCGTAACGTACGTTATTTTATGTAATATCAAAATTCTGTTGAACATATCAATTTCCATAGTTATGTGTGAAGCTCTCTAGCTTGAAATAGCTTCACTGCCTGTTCATTGTTTATTTATTATGTGTTTTATAATTTTTTTAGAAAGCTATAAAATAATATAACACTAACCCAAAATTTTGGCTCTTTTGGCAATATTTTAAAAAGTCTTTTGACACAATACAGAGTGAGTTTAAAGTTTGGAACGTCTCAATTATCTCTAAAACGGCTTGCACGATTTTTATGAATTTCGGTTTGAAAGGGTATTGTAATGGCCGATAATATGGTAGTATTTACATGGTTGTCAGATCTTTCGTTTTCCGGGCAATATCAGAAGCTTTGTTTTTTCAAATGGATCACCCTGTATATTATGACATTTCTCGGTTCTGCGGAAAATTCTAGACATATTTCATGAACAATGTCATATACCTATCTTCAACTGTCTCGGAAATATTGACAGTTGACTTTTTTGCATCTTTGACAGACTGTGTAAAACCTAAACGGATGATTTTAGAGCAAAACCGATCACATAATGAGGAATTTGCACATTTTTTTCTATTCTCTTATTAAATAAAACATTGTAAAAAGTCACTTGCCACATATACAGGGTGTTTAAAAAAGACACGGCAATATTTGAGGGGGTGATTCCTCAGGTCATTTTATGGAAAAAAGTTCCCATAAACATAGGTCCGGAAATGCATTTTTTGCAAGATACAGGGTGGTAAAGATTAGACCTAAGTAAGAGCTCAAATCATTGGTGGGTGTAACTCAATTAGAAATGACCCCTGGTATTTTTTGAGAGAGTTCGCCAGTCAATGAGGAGAAGATTGAATTCCCTGCATCCACGCCGGGGGTGGTCACTTTGAACAGTTTTTGTAATGTTTTTGTATCATAATGGACAAGCAAGAAAATAGTTTTCATTTTTTATTTTGTAAACGAAGCAAGATACGAGAAAAATTTGAGAGACAAAAAAGTTGCAGTTTTAGTTGATTTATCTGAAAGAAAAATCGAAATTAAATTAAAGTCAGTGGCGTACATTTTTTCGTCAATAAATTTTATTAAATTGCCCCCCCTAACGCCACTGGAGTTAAAAAAAATTATCTAGTTAGGGCAAAACTAGCCCCTAATTACTAAAAACAACGCTGCCAATTTTCAAAAAAATCGGTGAGAAGATATTTGAATTATTTTAAAAAAAACGTTATTTAAAAAAAAAAATTAACACCCTGTATCTTGGAAAAAATGCATTTCCGGACCTATGTTTATGGGAACTTTTTTCCATAAAATGACCTGAGGAATCACCCCCTCAAATATTGCCGCGTCTTTTTTAAACACCCTGTATTTTAAATTTTTAACTAATAGTTTTTCTGTAAAAAAAAAATATAGAAAATTAAAATAACTCTCTTCGCGCCAAAACGCAGTTGTAAATCAATGACGTCACTAGACGGTATCCTTCAAAACGAGTCTCTGTTCTCCCTCCCTGTTTTACCCATTGTCAATTGTGTTTTATGTCATTGGTTTATGCGACTATGTCGGTCATTGTCATTTTCCATTCACTAAACAAAGATAGCTAACTCACCGGTGAAGTCGCCGATTAGAATAAAAACGAAGGGTATCTTTGTTTAGTGAATGGAAAATGACAATGACCGACATAGAATCGTGGATCCATCGGTAGAATTCGATGTAAATACAAGCGTCTACTCAAGTATCACAATTCAATCAATCAATCAATTCTTTATTGTTTAAAAAGAATATACATTCTTATAACAGTAGGTTCTGCACAATAATAAACTTAATCTAAGTAATGCTACATTTCTCATACTTATAAGCTACACGTTTAAATATGTAAACCCAAATTTGAAATTGAAAAAGAACAAAAAATAATACTCTATAATAATTCAGGTACGAGGAGAATAGGAAGATAAAATTAAAATCTAAAGAAGAGGTCTATTCATTTCTTAAGAACGATCTAAGTTTAAGAATACTAGTAACGGTTTGGAAAATAACCCTCACCAGTTGAGGGTTTAGATTGTCCAAATTATGAGCAAAATTCGGTATATCACCCCAATCTGCCGCC